CCCCAAAACCCCAAAACCCCAAAACCCCTTCTATAAAAATGTCTTAATTATTAGTAAGATAATTGAATTTAAAGAATTAAAAACTGAGTTTAAGAAGTTAAGTAACAATATAATAATTCAACTAATAGCTATATTTTTACTATAGATAGAATGTTTAGTCATTCAGACTAGTTTGGTATCATTTTATAGCCTAATAATAAGTTCCTTTGTGTTGAAATTAGTGCTACCATAGAGGTGTTTCTTGAAGTCCTTTTTGTACTTTCTAATCTTGACTCTGTTGATGGGAGCCTCCTTGCCAAATTCTTAAGCATGCTTCTCCTTGGCCATTTGAAGCAGTTGCCTTTCAATGACTCTCTGCTCTCTTCTCTCAATCTTCTTCTTGTATGAATCACTTTCTCCTGGATGAACTCTGCTTGCGTGACCACCCAGAGCCCAGCCGGAAGTAAACACTTCATTGCACTTAATGCAAACATACCTGTGCTTAATTGTTGATGAGGGCTTCTTAGAAAGCTTTCCATTGTGCAAAGTCCTCTTTGAGATTACTTTTGAAAGTTTCTCCTGCTTGACAGCAGTTAGAGATTTCCTCTTGAGTTTTTTTTGCTTCTTCTTTTTCAACTTAGATAGAGAATAGTTTTCATCTTCTTCATCATCTTCCAGATCAATATCGTTTTCTACGATGTCTTCCATGTCAGTTGGTAGGTCTTAGCTGATGATAACCACACCTTGCTTCTTGATCTTCTGTCTGAGCTTTTCTATCTCATACTTTTTCTTCATAGCCATGAGTTCTTCAAACTAACTTCGATTTCTAGATATATCGATTACTTCATCATCAGCGTCTTCTTCGACTTAAGTTTCAACCTTGATCTCAACTTCTTAATTGCCATTCTTGCTTTGAAAAGTTTTATCGATCTCCATAGATTTCTTAGCAAAAGAAATACTTGACTTCTGAGACTCTTCCTTCACCTAATTCTAAGACTGATGAAGTTCTGCTTCTACCGTTGGGGACATGCATTCATGTTTCAAAGAAAGACTAAAGTTTTTAATAGGCTTCCTTTGGCCTTTGCTTGAGTCTTTCGTTTACTTTTAGCCGAAGTTGCAGACGCTGTTTTCACTTTCAGTCAAAGGGGCTTCATCTTCTACCTCTGAGTTAGTTTAGTATTCCTAGAGTACCTTCCCTTATTCTTTCTGTTGATTTTAATTTTACTTTCCAAAAGACCCTCTAAATTAGCTGAAGCATTTGAGGTCATTGTAATATGCTAATTGGTTGAAGAATTGTTCAGTTTCATCATAGACTTTTTTACCTTCTTTTATCAAATCAACAGGTAAAATGGAGTCGTCGAATTGCATTTTGCTCATTTCCGATTTTATGGCATCGTATTGAAAAGACTTTGGTTTTATTTTTGCGGCTGCTGGTTTCTAATCAGCATTGCAAAGATTTGGTGACTACTCTTAAGTGCTTTGGTTCTGCTAATCTGACTCCAGCTTGTTGAAGAATTGAATAAATTTGTTGATGCAATTGTGTTCTCCGTTAAGATGCTGCAACATTGTCTTGATCTGCTCTCTCAGATCAATGTTTACCTCAAGAAGCTTGTTGTACTCATTTTGCTAGAGGCTGAACATCTCGACTATAGCATTGGTAGAATGAGTTTCATTAGATGGCTGGTTAAACACTTGCTTGATGTAGGCTCTTGTGTGGGAGGCATTGTTATTTTAGCTATGAAGGGCCTCCTATTCAGAATGTAGCAATTATTAACTAGGCCTGAAATGATTGTATTGGGTATTGTTTTCTCTGTAGCCTGATTCATTGACTCTCATAAGCCTTCCATTTCGGAAGTAGGACTTGTTGATGCTCTAGTTCTGACCTCTCAAAGAAGTTGCAGAAAAGTTTCCCCTCATAGAGTTACCATTAAAGTAGTTTTGGTTTGAATATGCAGATGAACCTCGTATCTTGCCGTCAATGAATGGACTAACAAGTGCTGGAGAGTGATTTAGAAGTCCAATGTCTGATACTCGAGTAAAGTGCTATTGGTTATCATTCTATGTTCATAGTTAAGTATAAAATTGTGGAGACTTAAAAGTTACCTCAAAGTGATTATCGTAAGCTGAAAATTGGGTTGATGAGACGCGGTTCATTTGAAGTGTAGATTTTAATTATTAAAATATCATAGTAGACCCACTAATATACTATCGCTAAATAATCTTCCAATGATTCTTTTCAAATAAAAGTCTATTCTTTGCATGTGGGGTTTTGGGGTTTTGGGG